TCTCAGCCCGTCCCACGTCAATTTGCCCTCAGTGGGAGAAGTTCGTGCCAGCATCGGTTCTGTTCGCGCTGGCCAGCTCGTGTTTCCCAGGGCTTTTTTATTGCTGGCAGCAGATCTTCATCACGTATCAGATAGTGGTTAGAGAAATGTTCGACTGCTGACAGTGACTGTAAATTCAACTCGCATGTGTGTGTGTGAGTGCAGACCACAGGGCTGTTTGGCCCTGTTTGGGAGAGAGAGAGCGATGCTATCAGCTGCGTGTGTGGTGGTTTGCACAGGGGCATGCACGTGCTGCTCGTGTTTTTTACACTCTCACACAGTCTCATTTACGAATCCTGCCACACTCCAGGCTCAGAGCTTAGATTAAATTGTCGGCTCATTTCCTTCGCCTGGTATTAAAGCTTGTTTTAGAGGTAGACAGATTACAGGAATGCCCACCAAACCAGCGCTACACTCGGAGTCCTTCATCAGTCCATCTCCTGCTTGAGCTGGATGCAGCAAAACTGTATGTGGGACGGTATTTTTAGATATCTGGGTGAGGTGCTTCCCTCGCCGTGGGCTGACCTCAAATCCGCTGGAAGGAGCAACCCCTGCCCTTCTTTAGATAGGCCTGTATTAACAGAGTGCAGGTGGACTCTTCCACTCTCTGTAGGTCCTCTGGGATGATATAATGCACCATTCACTTGTAGAAAAGCTCGCAGGCCCTCTGAAAGTGGCTCAGCAACTGCACTAGAAGCTGAGATCACAGCAATGGTGGAAACATTCCCGTCTTCTTTATTAGTTAGATGAGTTGTGGAACACATCTGGGCGAAATTACACAACATCCTGTGAGTGCATTAGGGTTTGTTTTTTTTTTAAAGCTTTCAGTCTGTGGCTCTGTATGTTGGATGTTCACCCAGAGATACACTCAACAGGGACACTCTCAGAAAATTGACGCTGATTTTGGGGTTAATTTTCATTCTGCTGCTTTTCTCCGAGTGGAAAAAGAGATGTTCCACTAGAGCCTGGAGAGTATCTGCATGTGCGATAGGGGAATAAGAAGGAGAGCGTGAGAGAGAGTCTTGACTCATGTAATGATGTGGTCTGATTTAAAAGCCTTTGCTGAAGGCTGTTAATGTGCTAAGATTGCGGTTGTGTGTGGAATTTAATTTCGTTGTGGATGCTGGGACTGGGGTTTCTTCACGGGCTGGAAGAGGCTGATAGAGGGTTAAAAAGCTTACAGGCTGCAGCGACTGTGGACGTCTCCAGCTCCAACATGACGCTCCTCATCCATCACGCTGCCAGCAGCTGCCTTTGCTGTCCTACAGGCGCACACTCAGAGGCACATTAAAATGAGAGCTGTGAAGAAAAATGCATGCTGGCCATCAAAGAGTTTCATGCCTTGGTTTTATTCTTGTGGGGTAAAATACCTAGCTATGTTCCTAGCTAACAAACCGCATATCAAAGCTTTTATTGACGACCTCTGTGTCCAGAGTCACATGTTTCTTTCTCTCTGTCTCAGACACAAAACAGAGATTACAAGTTTGAACATGCGAGATCTCAGGCACATCAGGTGCTTTAAAATCCACCTGTTTTAAGTCCTTTTC